CACGCAGCCATTCTCCGCGCAGTAGGGTCAAGTGCATCTTCATAGCTCACAATGAATGGTACTGGCTTATTCATAACAGGGCCCCGATCTGTCCAAAGGGTCCTCGGCATTCTTGGATCAGTCTTACCGGATCTTTGCTGAGTCATATCATGCAGTTTTATTTCTTCAACAGGTACTTCATCTTGCCAGACATCCTGGCACAGCCCCAAACACTTTTCTTCAACCCCGATTGACATCTTACCGGCCCCCCTTCCTCAGTTTCCTCATCAGTACGCTCCTCACCTAAATGCGTTTGAGCCATATTCACCCAACATCTGGAGAAACACCCCGAGTAGTGTTTTATTAAACCCCAAGAATCTCCACCCACCTCTTTCTCTCATGGAAGAGTGCTGCTTGGGGTTTTGGAAAACATGGCTGCGGAAATCCCTTCCTATTCTACATTTCGATTTTTAGAAGTCTCCTGGTGTGGGACTGCAACAAGGCCATTTGGTGTCCTCTCTCCTCTCTGGCCATCCTCTCCTCTAGGCCAAGAAGTGGCCCCCAACAGCTGAAAGTTCAACAACCTAAAGCCTTCCCTCTCCTTTTAAAAGTTTTTTTTTAATTGTTCCCTTGCTCTAACGGTAGCCTTATGGAGAAGACCTCTGATGTCCCCTAACTTTGCCATATTGCAACTGAGGCATCTTGGTCTCTCTCTTACCGACAGACTCTGCCAGCACCAGGCAAACAGGATCAGAGAAACTCACTCTTCCAATGAAATAATTCCTTCATCAAACGGAAATCGACTGAAACGTAAGTGGAAAGTAGCGATGAAACATACAGTTCAGCTTTTAAAGAACAAGTTAGTTCAGCTTCCCAGGGTCGTCTTCACTCCATGTATACCCAAAATAGCTCATAAAAAATAATCCTGTTCCCAGGGGCAATATCTAGAGCATAATATAATAAAAATGTGTAGGTCTTATATGAAGGAAAGGATAAGACGGAGACGTAAAGGGAATGACTTCAACCAGTAAATGCACCACTGCTACTGACAAGATTTTAGCAATCTGTGGATATTCAAGAACATGTGAAGGAGTGCAATACCTCATGATTAAAAACAAATAGATTTTAGCAGGCTATTATTCTCAATGTGTCTAGACTCACAAATAAACAAGCGACATTAAACCACTGGAAAAATTCCATTACAATCAGGATCTAGGCAGATATACCTATATCATCAATATCATTAAATATTGATTTAGGTGTTCTTTCCAGTGTAATGGGATTGTAAAGAGAAAAAAAGGATCGTTTTTGGGAAAAAGACAAAATTGTAACCATTTGCAAATGATGTGAGTATATTCTTGGGAAACACCTAAGAAACAGTATAAAAAATAAATTCTTTTAAATGGTAGACTGAAATATTAGCATAGAAAATGCCAAAGCTTTCATGTATTCCAGCAATAATCATACAGAAAATGGAACGGGGAAATCATGACATTCACAGTAGCAATATCAACTACTCCAAAATACATTATACCAAAGGATCAAAAAAAAAAATAGGGTTAGGACATTGTAGTAGAAAATGATAAACTTATACTCAGTTTTATAAGATGATTTGAATACATCCAAAGGAAGTCTAGCAAAGCTGGGAGATTGGGCTGATGTTTGGGGGGAGGGGTGACCTAACCAGGCCCCAGCCAACATCACAAGTCTACTTCACAATTACCAGGTACTATCTCCTTGTCTCACGAGCGGGCCATTTTCTAGTCTGCTCCATCACTTCCACGTCAGATTATTCCTGTGCAGTATGCCTGTGCTGGGGGCATGTTTATTGGAAGGGAGAGGAATAGCAACATTATAATAAGGAATGTGGTAAGGGCTAGATTCCTACTGGCAAAGACATGCACAGTATGTTTCTAGATAAAGAGATCCACCGCTTACAGGCTTAGTCCAATGCCAAGGACAATTTGAAGTTAGTTTTCTCCCCGAGAATTTCAGAAAATAATTTTATCATTCAACTGTTAGAATGGTAGTGTAAGACAGTTGTGACTTTTTCTAAAGGAGAGTCAGAGTTGATTTTGAGAGACTAGCATTCCCCTGCTTGGCTTGTCTGTAGCTCAGTATTTCTCCAATGATGGATGTCATTTTGATTAACCATTGTAACAGTAGCCTGTTAGAGTAGCAACTGCAGTTTGGTGACGCTTGCCTGGATCTCCTCCCACATTGTCCTTGGCCTTGGAGATAGAGCTTTGTCCCTTGGGACAATGGCAAGTGTGAAGCAAGTAGAGAATTGAAAAGTGGTTGCATGTTGGGGTTTCCCTCTCTTGCTGCTCTTCAAACAATGTGACAAAAATATGAAGAAGCCTGGGCTTGGAGGAGGATGAGAACCCCATGGCCCATGTATCCCCTTCACCCCAGCTGACAGTGAAGCAATTGCCAGAAAAGTGGATGAGACCATGCTAGAGCATCCAGCCCCCAGCAGAGCCACTTAGCTGACAGGGCACTGACCACAGATGCATAAGGAAGCCTTCTGTGAACAGCAGAAGGACCACTCAGCTGTGCCCAGCTGAAGTTGACCTGCAGAATTGTGAGCAAAAAA